TATATAAAAATAAATACCTGCTTATATAAATATTTTTTATATTTTATATATATATATTTGGATTTTATATGCATATAATGGGTTATTTATACAGCTGCTGAGCTGGCCGTGTACTCTCCTAGTCCTGCTTGGACCTGGTGTGGCTGCACATGGGGGGACAGCAGGGGACCGATGGGGACGGGGGCTCTTGCTCAAGGCAGGAGGTGGCAGAGCTGTGTGGTGGCTGGCTAAAGAGCAGGACTGGTAGTTTTTAATGTTTCCTAGGTCTTTAGGATTCACTGTACTCAGTTGCAGGACATTGCTATCCAGCTGTGCTGGCGTCCCAGTAAGGGTAAAATGGTCGTACAAATCTCCTACCTTTATCACGTAGCCTTTGTCATAATTATCTAATTTTATGCTAGCGAAGCTCTCCGCTTTGTGGAGCTTTGTACCTTTAGGGTGGCAGTGTTGGAAATCAGCCCACATCCCAGTTGTAGAACAAACACCGCTGCTTATTTCATGCTTCGGAAGACAACAAACACCCATTATTTAGAGCAGGTGAGCAGGGAGGGCTCCCAGCACGTGGAAACCTCCAGCATTGTGACAGTCGTGCTCATCCCAAGCAGGATGGGAAAGTCGATTCCTTAAAATACTTTGTAAAATAGAAATCTCCAAAATGCCCCTCCAGTAACATCAAAACAAGCTTATGGAAAGTCAGGGGGTTGATTTACAGGGAACAATTACACCGGTATTAAACCACTGAACGTACCTGATGCTTACAGAGCGCGTTACGGCTGTAGTGGTACGTGAGGCTGTCAGAGCACCAGTGGCTGACAGGAGAGCACCCTCCTCTGTGCTCTGAAGGTGAATTGGTCAAAAAATGCTGGAAGCAGTCGGTGAGAGGGAAGGAGCTGCTCTCACGAGGAGCTGGCCTCTGAGATGCGGAGGCTGCATCGTGCGCGTGGTCACGGGGCCAGCAGAAAGGAATGCAAAAGTCAAAGTAAATGAGGAGCTAAAACCCCTCCAACCTTGACTTCTAATTGCATCCAAACTTTTGCAGTTAATCCTTAATTTAGTTTGACGTGTTCTCGTGAAGCATTTCGATCCCGGCGCAGCGGCGTGTTCAGCTGAGCAGCGCTCGAGCTGCTCGCCAGGCTTCTCGCTGCTGCCTCCCCTCCGAACCTGGGAGCATCTTAACCACCAGGAGATCGATATGTGACCCTTGGACACTCAGAAATCAAAGAGAGCAACGTGAAAACCAGGTGCTTACAAACCCAGATATTTTTAAATACTTTTTGCTCAATATCTAGCGTGGGAGGCTCCGCTACACGCAGGCGTTGCCTCCCCTGTTCTCTCTGAGGGTGCAGGTGGTGCGTGAGGGCAGGGATGCTCGTGGCTCCGGGGACCTGAACTTTGAAGCCAAGCACCAAGGACTGGGACACTCAGTGAAGCTGTTCCCTTTGTGGACTCCTGAAGCCTCGCCTGCTGTGTCTGAACGTGCTGCAGGCTGGGCTGTGGGGCTGTGCAGCTCTCCAGCATCTCACCAAGGTGCTGAGTTTGGAGAGAAGCTGCCAGTCCTCCTCCTTCCACACTGTAGGCACTGAGTGTACCCAGGGGCTCTGTGGATGCATGAGCTTAGGCTGAGGGCATGTCTCCAGCGAGCATCCTCTGAGGATGTGCAGAGACATTAAAACACCCCAACAGCAAGGCTGAGGGCTTCTTTCTGGCCGTGGGAGGTAAGGGGCTGGTTTGGGTCTCTCTCCCCCAAACAACCCCCAAAGCCCAGGCGCAGCTCTCCTCACTGCAGTGGGAGTCCCGCGGAGGCTGGTACAAACGCTGCTGCTTCCCATCGTGGTCGCGGAGTATTTTTACCCAAATCACACTGTTCTGCTGATGACTTTTTGGGTTTTGTAATTTTTAAGCCAAAGAACATATTTTCTCACTGCAATTTGTGCCAGAAAATAAAAAAAAAAAGAAAGGAAAAAGAAAGAAAGAAAGGCTATTGAGCTGAATTGTTTTGTGGGAGATGTGCAAACGAATAGGGGAGCCATAAGGAGAACAAATCCCTTTCAGAATAGCGTACGGGGGTGGACAGGAGGGAGGTGTGCGATGTGTGATGTGCTCTACAAAGGTACGGCGACCTTCAGCTGTGTCCTCAGCTCGCTGGTGGAGGTGGAGGCTGATTCTGCGGAGGCTGAGGAACCCGGCGTTTCCTCTGCTTCGGCTGGGTGCTGGGCTGCCTCCGTGCTGCCAGAGGCGTTGTTGGGACGCAGTGAGACCGAGATGGTGGCGGTGCTGTGCCAAGCCCCGGGGCGGATCTCACCACCCCTGCGGGGCTTCGAAAACTCCCGAAGCGGTGACGAGGTGTGAGCTACGTCCCGATGAATCCAGCTCCTTCCCCTTGGGAGCTGGGGGCAGGAGAGGAGGCAAGTGGTGGGCTCTGCCCCGTGGTCCTGGTGCGTCCAGAGCCAAGCACGTGTGGCTGCGAGGTCTCTGTCCACCCGTGGCAGTGTGTGCGTGTCGGTGGGGGAAAAGCCGGGGCTGCAGTTTGGGGGTTCTGGGTCAGCTGTGGTGGGCACCCCCAGGCTCAGTAGGGTCCTGGCAGCCTCGATCAGCATGGTGCACCCTGGCGTTGCTGGATGTTGTCGTCTTTGCTGTCTTCTCCCTCCTTTTCGTCGTGGCTGGCAGTGCGGGGAGGGTCCTCCCTTAACCCGTGCCCCCCGTTGCTGTGCCACTTTAAGCACAGCTACCTTTCTGTTGTCAGTGGGGGTTTCCTTCTGGTTCTGCCCCACCGGCCACATCAAATTCCTTTTCCTGAGATCACGTTGGCATGGGGATTTTCACATTTTCCTGCATTGCTCCAAACCTCAGCGCTCAGGGGTGGAAAGGCCACGGATGTGCCAGTGCACACGGGCTGAGTGGTCAGACCCTTGGGTTTCCTTTCTCTCCTTCCTGGAGTTAGACTAAATACCCGTAGCATTGCAAAGAGCTGGTGGCTGCTCTGGCTGTCTCCCCATGAAGACGATACCCGTTCCCTATTCCCTTCCCCTGCTGCCCCTGCAGATGAGCACAGGAGCCTCGGGATGGCTGCGGACAGAGGTGCAGAGCGCAGTGGCCAGGTGGGGAGCGGCCACCCCGTGGCTCCTCTCAGCCAAACAGGGAACATGCAGGAGCTGCGACCTCGCCATGGTTCCTCGGGAGCTGCAAGCACATCTCCACCTCCTCCTTCCTACATCCTGCAGGCACCACACCAGGGGCTGAGCGGTGCCTGCTGCCGGCTGCTGCTCCCCCAGCATCCGTCCCTGTGCTGGGACGCGTGCTGTGCTGTCGGGAATAGCACAGAGGAGGGCACGAGGTGCTCTTTTGGGACCTTTCCCTGCTTTTTAGTTCCCCCAGGGTGATGTCTGAAGGGAGATCCAATACAGCAGGGTCCGTGGTGCTTGCTGTTTGGAAGCTCTCCTCTCAAGGGGCTTTAGGGGGGGGCTCTGAGGTGTGGTGCCTGGGGGACCTGATGTCAAATAATCGGGAGATGCAGCGTGGCTGCTCCCTGAGGCCAACATCTCTCTGGAGCTTTCCTGAAATGCGTCCACCTTCAGTGCTCACCAGGCAGCGAGTCTGATCCTCGCCCTGTGTGGCAGCACCAGGCTGATGGCTTCATGCAGAAGCTCTCCGAGCCCTCCTGGTGTGCCTGCGCAGACAAGGAGCAGCAGCCGGGCGGCTCCTCTCCATCCCCTTGTGACAGCCTTGGCAAATTTTCAGCACCTCTGTGGCATGCGGGTGTAGAGAACCCCCTGGGGTGCCACAAAGCTTCAATCCCTCAGGACAGACACAGGTGCCTTGGGGCTGCAGGGCCCCTGCTGTCCGGAGGAGCTGTGAGGTTGGAAACCCTCTCCTGGAGCTGGCACACCTTGCTCCCTGCTCCCCCTGCCCTCCTTGGCAGTGCGGGCAGGATGCTCTGCGTGCTTGGGGCTCTGCACGGCCACTTTTGGAGCCTTCTGTGTCTCCCCGTGTGAGCCAAATCCTCGTTGAGGATTACAAACGCCCTGTCCTGCCCGACCACCTCCTCACTGCGCACTAACACGGGCTCCCCACGAGCTGCAGGGGGGATCGGAGACCACGGCACAGGGCAGCCACGCACCCCGAGCCCCTCCTGGTCCAGCACAGCTGTGCTGGGGCTGCGATAGGTCTGGGCATCACCTGGGGAGCTCCAAAATGCCAGGGCTGATCCCCAGGTGGGCAGGACGTGCGTGGTCTGCACCAGCCCCCGTGGGTGCTCTGCAGGCTGGGTGAGCTTCTTGAGCCAACCCGAGGCTCCGGGACCCTTGTGATGGGGACGGAGCCAGAGGTGGTGTTCTGCTGATGTTTTTTTTCGGGGGGCTGACAGAGGCTGGGCTGTTTGTTAAACCCGAGTGACCTCTGTGACCTTCTGGAGGACAGAACTTCTGATTCTGAATTTCATCTTTGCCATTTGCAAGCATTTTTGTTTTCTACCTGCTGTGGAGGGTTTGGCAGGGCGGTTCTGCTTTTTTTGGGGGGTTTTGTTATTTTTTTTTTAAAGGTATTTCTGGATGCTGGGGGGTGAGAACTGGGAGAGCAGTTGCATAAATATCAGCCAGTCTGCCATGGTCTATCGAAGCAAAGTCTTTCTGGGCTTGAGCAGTGTAAATGGAGAACCCAAAAGCTGCTAAGCCTGGGGTTGGGGTGCGGGCTCCGTGTGGCTGCCAGTGGGGTTCTGCCTGCTTTAAAGCCCTTGGGACAAGGCTTTCGAGTGCAGGAAGGGGCAAGGAATGATCAAGAGAGCTGTAAAGCAACATGAAAAAAAAAATGTAGTTTCCTGTAAACTCCTCCTTTGCTTGTTTCTGTGTTTTTGGGAGAGGTTGGGAGGTGCTCTCTGGGTGACCTGGCAGGCTGGTGTCCCATGCTGCCCCAAGGGGCTGAGGCTCCCTGAGGAAAGGGCTGTGCCGGTGGGGCTGGGGGCACTGGGGCACCTTCTAACCACAGTCCCTTTGTTGGTGTTGCAGCTCCCGAGGTGACGCAGGAGACGGTGGAGTCCCTGATGCAGAAGTTCAAGGAGAGCTTCCGCACCAACACGCCCATCGAGATCGGTCAGCTCCAGCCCGCGCTGCGCAGCACCTCCGTGGGGAGACGCAAACGCCGGAGCCGGCCCCGAGGTAGGCTGCTGCTGGTGATGTGCCGTGTCCCGGTGGCTTGGCCCGGGTGTAAAGGAACAAGGGGCTTGGCCCAGAGGGAGCCCTGGAGCTCCTCGGTGGTGGGGTGAGGAGGGGAACCCCCCGCAGCATCCTCCGCATGGACTGGTGGAGGTGGGTGGGAGCGGTGCCACCCCGTGTCCTCCCCAGGGATGCGTCCGGGTTGGGTGTGAGGCTGCTCCCTGCCCAGCCGCCCTGCCTAGCCGGGGTGTCGTGGGAGCGAAATGCCATTTCATGGCAAGGCTTTAGCTGCAGAAATGGCTGAGGCTCATTTTGGATGTAGCTGGCATCCCTGGGACCTCCCCTCACCGCGCTCTGCCGGTGCTCGCAGTATTTTGGTTAGTTTGCACTTATTTTAGGGGTCACGCAGAGGGCGGGAGCAGCATTTTAGGGCACTGCAAAGCGTGCTGGGGTGCCGCCAGGCTTGGTGTAGCTTTGGCAACCAGGCTGGAGCGAAAGGAGAAGGTGGGCTGGCACAGCCCCGGGGCAGGATTTGGCCCCACGGCTAGGCAGGAGGGGGCCTGGCCGCGTCTGCCCGGCACGCTGTGGGGAGCTAGGGAGGAAATACTTTGCTTTCTGTTTACTCTTGGTTTTGTTTTTCATTTATTTATGAGTCTGAAATGTGATCTTCTATTCTGGATACATTTTCCTGCAATACAGGCCTGGAGAGAGCTTTTTTTTTTTTTTTTCAGCTCTGCCCATAAATTATTCACTTAGTGTGAAGAAAATGTTCTGACTCTTTAACTGGTTTAAATTATTTGGTTTGTTTTCTAGTAGTTATTCAAATCCATATATCTGCATTTTAGCATACACTAGGGAGGAGGAGGGGGGCATGTTTTAGGGTCCAAAGTGACGGTCTGCTGAAATTACCCTGATTTTTTTTTAATTTATTTATTATTATTATTTTATTTCCCCTTTAAAGCACACGTAGGCAAGAGGCTTTCTGGTCGTTAGTGGGGCACGTCGATTCATCCTCCCTGAGCTGGGAGGACGCACGATGGGCACTGCTGCAGCCAGCCCCCAGCCGAGGTGCTGAGCCCCCATCCCTGGGGTGCCGCCTGCCCCAGCTCCCTGCTGCTGCTCGCTGCCTCCCACCAAACCCTCTGCACCCACCCAAGGGTGCCCCAGGGCAGGCTGAGGTCTTCTGAGCATCCTCCAGAAGATCTCCCGGGCAGGAGGAGGTCTCCTGCACACCCCCAGGAGCGTGTTTGGCCAGCTCCATGCTGTGAAAAGGATTTTTTTTTTTGCCTTGGGGCTTTGCTGCTGCTGTCTGCGCATCCAGCAGGGAGCGGGGACCCCTGGGAGGCAGAGCACACCCAGCTGCATGGCCACAAATCTCCCTGCCCTGCCCCTTGCTGGGCTTTCCTCTCTCACAAGCATCTGTCCCATCGGGGGCTGTGTGCCAGGGGTGCCCTTTCAGCAGCAGGTTTTTGGGGTGAGCACGGTGCCTGCACCCCGAGCTTTCTGTGCCGGTGGCTCCGTGGGGCTCTGCTCCTCCCTGAAGTGCTCACGCTGGTGGTTGTGTGCACCCTCGGACACGGTGGGGAGCCCTAGGGCATACCAGACCCCGTACACTTTAAGGGGAGATTTATGGGAGTCCTCCCTGAGAAAATTGCAAAGATTTAATCACCAGAAACCACCAGAAGAGCCCTGAGAACCAAAGCAGCTCCGGCAACTCCAGCAAAGAGCTCCCAGCGGCACCATCCCCTCCCCTCCCCTCCCGTTCCCATTTCTGTCCGCACGTGAAGCGAGGCCGGGCGCTGTGCGGGGTCAGGAGCGATGTCTCCACGCCTCCTCCACTCCCCTCCCATTCGGAAATTTGGGTTTTAGGGCCGGCGTTAATCGTCCCTCCGGCAGGCAGGCAGTCGGAGCGCTCCCGCACATTAAGGTTAAATGATGATATCACGATGTAGGATGTTTGCATTTTACATCCAACCGCAAACACAAACCCTTCGCCTCATTAATCCTTCGCAATCCATTTTTTTTTTCCCTCTCTCTAAATGAAATTGTCCGTTTGGGATGCATTTATTTCCCCCTAACAGCCACATGACAGTTGTGCTGATGGAGTTTGCATCCAACTTTGTTACTGGGTAGTGACAAGTCGGCCTGACGGATGCGTGTGTGTAATTATTTCCTCGCGGTTCGATTTAATTAATGCTTAACCTCATCAGAGTCCTACAGCTGGAGTGCTCGCTCGGCAGGAACTGCTCTCAGCAAAAGGATTTCCTCCTTTGCAGAAAGGCTCCAAAAAGGCTCCGAGTGCCTCACGGAAAGAAGGGAGGAATAAAAACCGCAGTGGAAAACAAACAAACCCGACACCCAGCCCAGCACAGACAGCTCGGATGAGCTCTGCCTTGCTCCGCTTCCCCCCGCTAAGAGCATTTAAAGCGCTGCCTGCTGCCTGCCACTGCCTCTGATCCCACACTAAGGGTTTCGAACAGCTCTGGGAATGGCTGTATTTTACCCAGATTTTGCTTTTTAAAAAACCAATCCAAAATCAAACAAAAAAAAAAAAGTGCCCCAAACCCCCTCTCTATTTACAGTACCACTTTTTTTTTTTTTATTGCCTGTTTCATACAACCTTTCTCCCCAAACACTTCTATCGAGTGGGGTGTATTTAGGGTTTATAAGTAATACAGGGAGTGGGGATAACGGGGGCGCAGGTGCAGAAGGTTGACTTCACCGAGCTCTGGGGTGGGTCAGGACAGGCTCCGTGCTTTGTGGGGCCACGTTCAGGATCTGGTCACCAGGGTTTTTGGGGTCCAGGACGGGTCCCCGAGCTGGGAAGTCAATCTCCTGGGGGCGCTCAGTTTCTTTGCGCATCCTTCAGTCCTACAGCAGAACGGAGCTGTTGGGGTTTGCCCTGGGCTCCTCAGGTTAGGTGTCCTGCCAGGAGCGCTGGTGGCTCTGCAGATCCCGAGTGGATGTAGTGCGTGATGCACGGCACCGGCATCCCTCGGAGCTGACAAGGAGAGATTTCGAAAATCAGATGGAGGGGGGAAAAAAATGAAATTACTCTTCCAGCCCAGCTCTCTTTAGCAGGATGCCCATTAATTACGGTGCTAATTGGAGCAGCCTCGTTGTCTTGGGTTTCACCCACCTGCACTTTTCCAAGGCGGGGACACCTGGGGCACCCCCAGCCCGGTGTCCCCAGGCCAGCAGCAGGACAGGGTCGCACTGCGCTGGGTGACGCCGGGGCTCCAAGCGGGGTCTGGTGCCCTCTCCTGGGGTAGGCACTTAAAAGCACCCTGGCCACTGGTGCATTTTGTATTTGTAAACAAAAATCATCGCTGTATTTGTAAAAATCATCGTTGTGTTGGTAAAAAGTGTCCCGAAGTGCAGCGTCGTGCTGGGGCTGGTGGCCAAGATGTCCTGCCCTCCGTGCGCGGCTCGTCTCACCTTCCGTGGTCAGCGGGAAGGCTCCGTGGTGCTCTCCCCTTTTAAAATAAATAAGTGATTAACAGGTTGTTGGGCCCGAGACACGATTTAGTGTTGGTCAGGGCTGTGTCTCAATACATTTTAGAGGTCTGCCCTGTGCCATAACTTACCAAAACCTACACAGGCAGGGCTGGGCTTGGGCAGGCTGTCCCATCCCTGCTGCGTTTGCAATTCCTTTCCTTTGCCCCCCATCCCATGGAGCTGTTGGTTTTGCTGGGGAGGTTTTTGGGGTTCAGACAGGGCATTCCCTTCATCTGGGTCAAAGCATCCAGCTCCCCTCGGCTGCTCCTTGCTGAAAGTGGACCCCGAGGGTGCCCCCGTGGGCTGTGCGAGCGCTGGGAGGGCTGGGAGGGAGCTGGGCACATCCTGCTGCAGGAGCACGGTGTGGTCCAGGGAAGGGACAGTGAAGATCGATGAGAAGGAAGAATTGTAATTAACTGGAAACTGTGCCCGTGTGTGTGTGTGTGTGTGTGTGTGTGTGTACACGCCTGCTGCAATGACAAACTGAGCGGAGTGCTTCATTTTTTAGAGGCTCCTTCCTTTTGTCATTTTTGCATTGATTGTCCACATTTCAAGAGAAAACGTTTGCGTGCTTTTTTTCCCCCTCTCCACTTCTGATTTACCTTTCTCCGGGCACGTTTGGGTAGGCAGCATTTCAGTTTTGTGGCACGCTTTTGGGGGGTAAATGAATTCACCTGAAACCTCCCACCTACCTAATTGTGTGGCTCCAGCTTGCGGCACAGGCAGCAGCCGCCATCCTGCAGGGAGGTTGTGGGCAGCGAAAGCTGCGGGGTCAGGGTTTGGCCCCTTCTTGGAGGGGACGGGTGTGGGAAACCCTTTTATGTTAGCAGGCAGGGCCAGGGTTGTGAGAGCCTCTGACAGGAGCTGCCCGGAGAGCTCCCAGTTCTTATTTCCTCATTTTTAACTCAGCCGTGATCTGCTCTGTATCCACGGTCGTGTGTGTGGGAAGCTCCATCACCTCCTGACTTTGGGGGAGGGATTTAAAATTTCACGTTTGCTTTTATTTATTTATTTATTTATTTATTTATTTATTTATTTATTTATTTTTAATGATAGAAACATGCATTTAAAAAACACACGTGGGGCTGGCCAGCAAAGAGGCTCTCGGGAGGACAGAGCCTGCGGCTCCTGCGTCTCGCTTCCTTAGTTCTTGCCTGGCAGCTGAACCTCTTAATAGGAAAATTGCAGAAAATCTGCACCCTCCTGGCTGCTTTATGTCCCGTCCCCCGTGGAGGGGCTGTGGGGGTGCTGGTGGCCCTGCTGCCCCCCCTGAGCAGCCTGGGGGAGCAATGCTGGGGCTGCTCTGCAGGATGCCTGGAGCCCTGGGGTCTGTGCACCTGCACTCGGACAGCCCAGGTGCCCAAATTACAGGGGCTCTGCAGCCCCGGCTGGGCTGTAAGAGGTGCTCATTAACGACAGGCTCTTTAATTATGCGTCCATGGGATGTGTTTGTGTTGGATCCTTGCCTCGCTCCATCTAAATGAACGCCTGACTCGGAAACAGCAGCGCGCACCCTGCCCAGCACGGGGCTGAGCCGGGATCTGTTTGAGGGGATTAGCGAGCTTGTAAATCTGCAAACAGGATTAGCGACGAGAGCACCTTTATTGAGACATCTGCCTGTCGCTGCGGGGCTGGTCCCAGCCACGGGACGTGGGCATTTGGGCGCTTCCCCAGTGCTGTCCTTGTGGTCCGGTTCCATCCTCGGGTGTCGGTGGCAAGGCGCTGCACCGGGGTGCCGCTGGGTGCCAGCCCCAGGGGAAATCAGCAGCAGGGTTTGCGAGTCCTTCCAGAGCACGTTGCTGTGCTTTGCAGATGTAAACCTCTAAAACAGGACTCAAAATCTTGTGGTCTTTTTATTTTTGGCATGTTTTTTTGGGAACTGAGCACGGCGTCAGGTCTTATTTCCTAAAAAGCTCCTGCGCAGTGCTGCGCTGCGGGGAGCCCGGGCAGCCCGGGGGGTGCTAGCACAGCACTGCCCATGCATCACTGGTCCCAGGCGCCTTGGTGTCATTGTTCCCATGTCGAAGGGACTCTTCCCTGATCGGTTGCAGTGATCAGGGTCTCTTTTCCCTCCCAGCAGCCGCAGGCAGATGGCAGCAGCGCTGGTGCTCTCGCCCTGAGCATCCCGGCCAGGCTCCACATGCTGGCAGCAGCGCCCGGACACGCAGCCGGCCCAGGGGAGGCTTCTGCAAGGCTCTGGGCCCACCAGAGTCGTGGTGGGATCGGTCACAGATCAGCACTGCTCCATCCTGCGTGCTCATTTCTCCCTGCAAACCACGGGCAGAATGAATCCCGGTGTCCCCAGCGGGTGGGATGGATAAAAGCCCTTCCCTGCCCGGTGCTGCGGGTCCTCACCGGGCACCGCGCGCTGGGTCGGAGGAGCTGTGTCTGCTGTGGGCTGGCGCGGGTCCCCACCTCTCGTACTTTGACATCCTGCACGGTTCTGGGTAATAAGAAAATGCAATATTGCTGTCACCAGCTCTCCGAAGACATCCAGCCTGAGTAATTCAACATGTCAGAGCCATCCATCACCGCCACGCAGCCAGCAAACAAACGCAGGGCAGCTGCAGGGGCTGGGATGCGGGCTGGCAGCACTCACCGCTGTTAGAGCGGGGCCTGGCCAAGCAGAACCTGATCCCCTTCCCCTCCTCGTCCTTCCCTGAGGGGTTTTGCTTTGGTTGCTGGTTTTGCAGCCCTGCTGTAGCCGTTCCTGCTGCCCTACCAGGACTTGCTGCTTGCTCCCCACTGGCCCTGGCGTTTGCAGCAGGCACCAGCAGCTCATTTCCCTCCTTTCATCCAGGGGGAAAACCTGTGGTCAGCATCTGTCCCTGCCCCTGGGCACTGCTGGGAGCAGAGGGGACCGGGGCTGTCCCTGTGGGGCTGCAGAGGGGATGCTTGGCAGGGCTGCAGCCCGTGGACGTGGGTCAGATTTTCTCCCTGATGAAAATATGCTGTACTGTTCTTACCACGCAGCTTTGCCCCTCAAAACCTTAGTCTCTGCATCCTGAAGTGGGTTCTTTGCTGTGATGGGGAGGTCTGAAGAGGGACAGGGGGTGGCTTACGCTGAGGCTGTGAAGTCTCCGGCCCTATGTGCAAGCGCTGAGTCCTCCCGGCTGCTTGCAGGAGGAATGGAGATGCTGGGGCTGCTTCCCTTCCTTCTCCTGCTGCCCTGAGGGTGCTGTGTGGGGTCAGGGCATGGAGGGGTAGCAGCACATCCCCCTGTGTGGGAGCTCCGGGCTGCCCCCGGGGCTCTGCCTGCCCACCCATCATCCTGGCGGTGAAGAATTTCCCAGGGCAGAAGGCAGCACTTTCATTTTCTGTCCTCCTGCCAAGAAATTGTGCTTCTGCCCAGAATAAAGGATTTTTAAAAAACACTAAAATATTTTAATGGCAGTTTAAAGGCCCACTGGCAACCCCCAGAGACCTCTTTGCTCAAAACTTTGTTAGGATTGCAGGCTTTCTGCCAGTCCGTGCTGATTTTCAGATGCCTGCTCCTCCCTAGCAGCTGGGCGCTGGCACGGGGACGCAGGGGGGTCCCTCAGTGTCCCCAGCTCCCTCAGCAGGCAGACCTCGATGCTTGAGAGCCAGCCCAGCGCCTTGTGGAGCTTGTGCCAGATATTCATGGCGTTGGAGCCTGGCAGGCAGCGTAAGGATGCGTGCTGCTGGCTGTCCTGTGGCTGTTGGGGTGAGCTGATGCTGCAGGGAGGGGGAGCAGTCCCCCGCTCTGTGGTGGGGACCCTAAAGGCACCGTTACTGGACCCCACAGGCACCAGCCGTGCGGAGGAGCTCGCTGCTTGCACTGCTGCACGCCCCCTGTCAGCACTGATCCGCTCTGCTCTGCTGCTTGCAGGTGGCATCGGGTTTGGACGCGCCAAAGGCAACTCGGGCTCGGAGGCAGACGATGAGACCCAGCTCACCTTCTACACCGAGCAGTACCGGAGCAGGAGGCGAAGCAAAGGTAAGAACGCAACAGCCACCCATGGCGTGAATGGGTGTAAGAGAGAAAAAAAGAGCTGAGCACCGTGGCTCTGCCCTGGGGCGATGCCGGCTGCTGCCACGCGGCTGTGGGTGAGGGCCGTGAGAGCAGTCTGCATGGTGAGGGTGTCCCAGTGCCATGTCCGCCATGCAGCAGGGTGCAGGATCTATCAGCATCCACCAGTAACGTTTCCCAGCGGTGTCGTTGAGGTGCTTAATATTTCTGTGATTGTTTCTGGCGTTGGTTATGTTAAATACGTCAGCAGCCCAAGCAGTGGCTCCCCAGCCCCTTTCCCACATCCCACTGCCAGGCCAGCGCTGGGGTGGCTCAGGGGCAGAGGTTTTTTTGGGTGCTGCTCTTCTGCCTGGGACCTGCAGCACCTGCCCGACGGGGAGTTCCCCTGCTCCCTCCCAACACAGAGGCAATTAAAAGGAACGAATCCAAAATGAGGGCCGGGGCAGGGATTTACAGACCGGAGTTTTGTGAGTTAGCAAAGCTGAGACATGGCACCGTTGGCTGCAGTTCGAAACCAGTGTCCGTGTTTCCTGCAGTGCCACGATACCAAAGCGTTTTGTCCAGTTCCCAGTCTTTTTGGAGGAGGCCAGCACAAGCCTTGCTGCTGCTGCACTTGCAAAATTGCTGTCAGGAAATAACTCTGTTGGGAAGTGATTTAATAACTGCACAGGGGGCTGCTCCCTCCATTGGCTTTCCACACCGAGCCAGGCGTTGGCAGAGAGCAGCGTGCTAGGTAGGTGCCTGCGCCCAGCGCCGCAAGTGCAGCTCCGTTTGTTTCAGTGATTAGGCATTCAGATAAATGCTCACAATGTGTTTAATTTGAATGTGAAATTGCCTCCACACCTATGATCAGCTTGATGATTGCACACTGGAATCAACACATGTGTGCATGGCGTATGGCGTTTGTTCCTGATGAATGGAAGGAATTCGGGTTTTATTTTTTCCCCCAGCATGTTTTAGAAGCATGAGAAATTCCCACTGAGTTTAAAAGGAGCTTTTGATGAAAAGCAGGGAGAGAAATCAAGACTTAAGTTACTTGTTGCAGTATTAATATAGATGGATGAGGAGTTAAAAGACTTTTTGATGCCTGTTTTAGAAAACAAGGAAGAAATCGGTTGTGTGGCAAACTAAGAGTTGTTTTCTCAATGAGTTATCTGAACTCCTGGGCTGTGGGCGAGTCCATGGGTACTTCGGAAAATTTGCTGAGGTTGGGGTTTGGTTTTTGTTTTGTTGGCAGAGGGGAGGTGGTGCCCAAGCAAGGAGCAGGAAATTGTGTTTGAAGGAAAAACAAACACAGCTTTGCTTTCCTGGTGCCCTTATACCATCCCCAGTAGGTCAAGTGCTCTGCCAGTGCCTTGAAACACGCTTGCACTGTGTACACCCAGTACAAAGATATTCTTACTGACATGAACATTGGCTTTGGGTTGTTCGTTTATGCTTCTTGTATGCAAATGTAAAGGAACAGATAAATGGGAAGAATACATTTATTTTTCTTTGAAAGAGGAGTTGTTCACCTGGGAAGCTTTGATGACTGCCTTTGAGGGGAACTCAGGAGGCAGAGCTGGTTTTTAGATTTGTGTTAGGGCTTGAGCGATGCTGCAGAAAACACCTTTGTTTGTGTTCAGTAATGGGTAAACAAGGGAATTGTCTTGCATAAAGTCCCTATTGTATTTTCCCTCCCGTTTAGGTAAATTTTGCCATTGCAGCATCCTTGAAAGGAATTTTCCATTATCCTTTCATTGACTTCTCTATCCCTTGTGGAAGGAAAGCAATAGCTTAGTGGGAAGCCACAGTACCAAACTCATAATTACAAGTTCAGCAAAGATCCATAATTAGACAAGATCATAATTCTAATAGAGAAGGACGCATCGTCAGATACAGTTAATTCTTACAATGATGTTCCCGTATTGATTCTGCAATGGCTGCGTGACATTGCTGGTGCCGTGTGATAGCTATCAGGCCCAAGGAGAGAAATTCCTCGAGACTCCTCTCCTCAGCCCAGGTTTTGCAGGATTGAGCACAATTACTGATGCCGTCGAGTCATTGATCCCGGGTGATGTGATGGGAAGTTTCCACTTAGGTGTTGCGTGGGTTCACTTTGACTTTGTGCTGTGTCAGAGCAGGCTGGCTAAGTGGTTGCAGGCTTTATTTTTCTGCTATAGAAGAAAGGCTGCAGGTTTCACGAGGCCCACGGGTGTGCTTGACAAGGTAAATTAGCAGGATGTTCCCAGAGGTAAATACTGAGCGAGGGCGAGCTCACTGCTCTGTGCTGGGTCTGGCTGCTCGGTTATCTCAGCACCAGCAGACGCTGACATCTGGTTTGCAGGATGGGGATGCACGGAGGAGTAACGCTGATGAGGCCAGCAGCAGAGGTAGGAGCGTTGCTTGTCTGCAGCCCCCAGCATGATGCAGCGTGTGTCTTCCCAGCTTTAAGGGCTGTAGGATCCCCTACATCACCAATGTCCAACTCCTTTTAGAAACTCTCTGGAGAAGTGTAGGGGGAAGGTGTGTGAAAGCAAAAGAGGGCTTCCTGTGGAGCTTCGGTCCTTGTCTGCCTGTTGGGCAGAAAACTCCCAAACGCCCTTTGGGATTCTTTATGCAACCCCACACACAACAGGACGCTGCGCTTTCTCTCCTTCCAGACAACCCCAAACAAAACCCGAAACCTAACCCTAATTAGGACCCTAAAAACGCATATGGCACCAGTTTCTCCCATCAAAAAGCGCTCCCAACAGAAGCCTTTGGGTACACCTGAACTCCCTTGGGGAGCCTTTGTGCAACGCACCCCCCCCCCCCCCCCCCAAGACTCTGCTCCTTCAATCCTAAACATAACAAAAACTGTAATCCAAAGCTTAACACTATCCCTAACCCTGACCTAACCCTAAGGCTAACCTTAATGGCGGAGCTAACCCTAACCCTAACTCTAACCATAACAGTAAGCCTTACCCAAACCATAACCCAAACGCTAACCCTAACCAAACCCTAACCCTAGCCACCACCCTAACCCTAAACCTAACCCTAGCTCTAACGCTAACCTAACCCTAACCCTAACCCCAATGGCGGAGCTAACCCTAACCCGAACCCTAACCCTAACCCTAACCCTAACCCTAACCCTAACCCTAACCCTAACCCTAACCCTAACCCTAACCCTAACCCTAACCCTAACCCTAACCCTAACCCTAACCCTAACCCTAACCCTAACCCTAACACTCACTCTAACCCTAACGTGAACCCTAACCCTAACCCTGACCTAACCCTAACCCTAGCCTTAACACAAGCCCCCACACAACAGGACTCTGCACCTTCTCACTTTGCAAACAACCCTAAAAGTAACCCAAACCCTAACCATAAACCTAACTCTAATCATAACCCTAACCGAACACTAACCCTTACCCTAACCCTCACTGTAACAAGCACCCTAATCCTAACCCTAACCAAACTGTAACCCCTAACCTGAACCCTAACCCGAACCCTAACAGTAACTATAATCCTAACCTAACCCTAACCTCTAAACCCTAACCCTAACCCTAACACAACCCCCCACACAACTGGACTCTGTGCCTTCTCTCTTTGCAAACAACCCTAACCCTAACCCTAACCCTAACCCTAACCCTAACCCTAACCCTAACCCTAACCCTAACCCTAACCCTAACCCTAACCGAACACTAACCCTTTCTCTAACCTCCACTCTAACCCTAATACTCACCCTAACCTAACCTTAAACGTAATCCTAACCCTAACAGTGGAGCTAATCCTAACCCAAACCCTAACCATAAACCTAACCCTAACACTAACCTAAACCTAACTCTAACCTAACCCTAATGGCAAAGCTAACCCTAACCCTAACCCTAAATCTAATCCTAACCATAACCCTAACCTGAACCCTATCCCAAACCCTAACCATAACCGTAACCATAACCGTAACCCTAACCTAACCCTAACCCAAACCCGAACTCTAAACCTAAACCTAACTCTAACCCTAACCCTAACATTAATGCAACCCCACACACAACAGGACTCTGCACCTCCTCTCTATGCAAACAACCCTGAACTTAACCCTAACTGGAACACTAAACCAAACCCTAATTAGGACCCTAAAAAACACATATGGCGCCACTTTCTCCCATCAAAAGTGCTCCCAACGGAAGCCTTTGGGTACACCTGCACTCCCTTGGGGAGCCTTTACAAAGCCCCACACACAACAGGACTCTGCACTTTCTCTGGAAACCCTAACAACCCTAACCCCTAAACCTTAGATCCCCAACCCGTTCCTTACCCTTACTCAGAGCATGGATTTTTTGCTGCCAGTTGTCTCATTGCTCACGTAACGCGCTGTCCTGTCGTTCGCTCCCATAAATCCTGTTTTCCCACTGACACCTCCAGCAGTCCTTCTCTACCTCCTTGTTCTCCTCTGCCACTCTTGGCTTTTTAATTGCTTTGACACTCCCTGAAATATTTTGAAAGAGGAGTAGAGAAAGCTCTTTCCTGACTTCCAGGCACTGCTTTCATCTGGGTTCTGCCTTCCTGTACCCGTTACCTTTTCCCGTCCCAATAACCTGCTTCTACCCCAGCAGACCCGCTGTGCACCCCAGGGATGTGGCGTGGCGTGCCCTTGGGTTAGACCTCCACGAACGAGGCTCTCAGATCATTCCCCAGCACCGTGCTCTGGAATATCAGCACAAGTGAGCAGAGTCCCGTTAGGGGTCTTTGGACTGGTGTCAGCCACGTGCGGGTGCTTTTTGTGCCTGGATGGCTTGCAAAGTTTTCTGAGAGCTGTTAGAGAAATGAGATGAGCTTTGATCTGCCTCTGTATTTGGTGTATAAAACAAGGCCTTTTATAAGGGAATATTAGTTATTCAGGGGCTGTTACATGTGAGGAAGTTTCACTTTGATCCTCTCCCGTCTCCAGAGGCAGCAGGCATTTATTATTTCACGGGGAACTAAACAAAAGTCAGAATAAAATCTGG